TATTAATAGCATGCTTTAGCAAATTAGCTAAGTGTTTCTAGCATGTTTACAATTGCTGACATTTTTAAATATGTTGCAAGGAGTCCATAACAGTGTTAAACATGTCACTTCCTGTTGCCAGTAGGTGGTGCTATGACTATAACTGAATATGGGCATGGACATGTGTTCAGGACAGAACAGTGTGACGTTTGGGGCAGATTGGACATTGTATGCCTGAGTTATAGCAACTTCCTGTTTCATGGCGAAACATCGAAATTTGTCAGGCTGCCATGGACACGCCATTTGACGAAAACTCAAGATCTTTGTAATTTATGATTACATTACCAAATTTGAAGATGATCCAATTAAAGCTGTAGGAGAAGTTTGTTGAAGTACGAGGGCTGAAAATGGCGAAAACTGAACAAAAATCAGAGAAAATTCAAAATGGCTGACTTCCTGTTGTGTTTACGACTTCGCTCTAAGATCGTTTTTTTTGTAGGTGTAGGGACATTACAAGCATGTACCGAATTTCGCACACGTACGTAAAACGTAGCGGCAGGGGCTCTTTGTTTAAATTTGATAGGTGGTGCTATCGAGCCATTTTACCACTCTCAATTCTGAAACACATAACAGTTGTAAATTTCCACCAGTTCACCAGTGTGCAATGTTTTGGAGCATGTTTAGGCTCTCAAAAATGTGATTCCCTTTGAAGAAGACGACGACGAAGAAACAGGGCACAGGGCAATTCCAAGAGGGTCCTCGCACCATTGGTGCTTGGGCCCCTATTGAGCTGAAAGTTAGAGCTGATGGAACACGACCTAATGCCTTGAAGGGCCTCGGTCTAAGTGTCTTTTGAAATATCTATGCTAAGGTCTTTCCCAGGACATCTTCAAATGTTGGATAGGAGGAACCCTTAAAATATTCAACAAATCTAGGAACAAGACCCTTCAAATTGAGTTCAGATGCCATACAAATATAAAGATGGTCAGGGGATTTGTATGTTTCAAAATTGAGATATTACTTTTAATGTAATACCGTTCCAGTACCTTTCTAAAGAAATGAGAAGGGGGTAATCAAGAAATCAGCTCCTTTTTTTTTTTTTTTTTTTTTTTAACCCCGCCACTCTGACGAAAACTGCAATTTCTTACCAGAATGAGTTTGCAAATGATGTTTCAGTTTGCTTAGAAATGTGAATCTCTCTACTGTGTGAATTCTCATGAACCTTTAGGTTCCTTTTTACTGTGAAACTCTTTCCACACTGAGGGCAGGTGAAAGATTTCTCTCCTGTGTGAACTCTCATGTGACTCTCAAGGTTTACATTGTTTTTTAAACTCTTTCCACAGTGATGGCACATGAAAGGCTTTTCTCCGATGTGAATTTTAACATGATCCTCAAGGTGATTTGTGTCTGTGAAACTTCTTTCGCACTGATGACATTTAAAACGGTTTTCTCTTGAATGAATCCTCATGTGATAATTAAGGCTTACTTTATATATGAAACTCTTTCCACACTGAGCACATATGAATGGTCTCTCTCCAGTGTGAATTCTCATGTGAGTCTTAAAGTTTTCTTGGCGTGTGAAACTCTTTCCACACTGTTTGCAGGTGCAAGGTTTCACTCCAGTATGACATCTCATGTGACACTTAAGACCTCCACTTCGTATGAAACTCTTCTCACACAGTTTGCAGGTGTAAGGCTTCTCTCCAGTGTGAATTCTCATGTGGACTTTAAGGTTTTTTTTCTGTGTAAAATACTTTCCACACTGAGAGCATATGAACTCATGTGGATTTTTTTCTGTGTAAAATACTTTCCACACTGAATACATGTGTATGGTCTCTCTCCAGTGTCTCCAGTGTGGTGAGTCTTAAAGTTTTCTTGGCGTGTGAAACTCTTTCCACACTGTTTGCAGGTGCAAGGTTTCACTCCAGTATGACATCTCATGTGACACTTAAGACCTCCACTTCGTATGAAACTCTTCTCACACAGTTTGCAGGTGTAAGGCTTCTCTCCAGTGTGAATTCTCATGTGGACTTTAAGGTTTTTTTTCTGTGTAAAATACTTTCCACACTGAATACATGTGTATGGTCTCTCTCCAGTGTGAATTCTCATGTGAGTCTTAAGGTCTCCATTTCGTATGAAACTCTTCCCACACAGCTTGCAGGTGTACGGTCTCTCTCCAGTATGAGTTCTCGTGTGGATATTAAGGTGACTTTCCCGTGTAAAAAT